TGGAGAGGAAGAAAAAAGACAGAAAAAACAGAGGAAAATTGTGGAGAAATCGCAGAATGAGGGGGACGGGCGAAACGAAGGGAAGAAGGCTGTGTATAGCATTATCCAAACCGATCTTGGTCCAAAAAAAATGTCAGTGGGACCCAGCGTCCAATCAATTTAGAGATTCCCTTATACAGATCGATCCCGGTCCGTATATTTTCATTAAAAATAATAATTCATTCCTAATTTTTGTCATTTAATCTTTATTTTTCACGAAAAATAATAAATATACGGAGTGAAACCGGTCCGAATATAAAAATGAAATTTCGTATTCTCTAATAGATATATACAGACCGAAGTCGGTCCGTATATATTTATTTAAATAATATTTTATTCATATTTTTTGGTATTTAATATTTATTTTTTTCAGAAATACTATTCGGATCGAAAACGGTCCGAATATTATTGACGCGCCTACACTGTGGATCCCACCATAAATATAGGGACCGATACCGGTCTGAATATGTTCATTAAGTATATTTTCTCCCCCTGACTATATTCAGACCGATATTGGTTCGAATATTTATTTTTTCAGACTGACAATATTTGGTCCGTATATGGTCGGTCCGTATACATCGTTTGTCTAGTAGTGAATGGTCCAGAAAGCTTTGCCATTTCATTTAAATTGCAAAATAGATTGGTCACTTTGACAACAACATCAGTACATCAATACTTCTAACAATCTACCTAATGCCAAACGTTTACACCAAAAAAAAGAACCAATAAACAATAAGACATATACAAAAAGCTAAACAATTCCTAAAGTTCAAACACCTAAAATTTACTTCCAAAGACTTCCTCTCAAAAGCAGCAACCTTTTTTTTTTCCAATTCAGAATATGAATCCTTCAACACATGAAGTTCCCTATGCAAATCGAGATTCTCCTTTTTCACCTCAAGAACCTCAGTCATCAATGTTTTCTCTTTCTCTAACATTTTTTGCTGCTTCTCCCAACAGCATGTTAACCATGCCTTTGCCCGAGGGTCAAACTCACCATCAAATCAAACAAAAAAATCACACCATGGTTTTTCCTCATCCGGATGTTGCTCATACCATTGAACTATTTTAGCATCATCTTTCTGCAAAAATCATAAAACAACCAGAAAAAATCATACACTCATCAGAATCATACCATATTAAGAAATAATGTATGGAATACTTACTGGAGAGTTGGAGCAACCCCAAAACCTTCGTCCATAGTTAAAACAAGTTAATGAAGTTTTCCTTACCGGTGGAAGATTATAGTAGAAAAATCCAATTTGCTCACAATTCAAGCGTGATTGTGATTGTGGCGTAGAAGGAGAACCAAAACCCTAACTGGCTGTAGACATTGTCAGCACCCAAACTTCTTGAATATGGTTTGCTAATACAGAATCCGTTACTATTGGACTTGGAAAGTAAGCCCAGAACAGAAGGAACAAGTCGTAGCTGCTACCGCTCCGTGGGCTTCTTCTTAGTCTGCTCGAAAGGAAAGCCAATAACTCGAGAGTAAAAAAAAATAGAATAGAGTATGACAAAACCAGTAGCCTTGAGCTTGAACGTGTTTCAGCGATTCAGGCAAAATGGGTTTCGAAAGAAAGGAAGAAACCCAAATTTCTGATTTTTGGAATTTTGATTTAGGGATTCATATGGGTTTTGAAGGGAAGAAAGAAATTGGGGAAAATATTGGGGATTTCTAATCTGGGTTCCGAAAGAGAGGAAGAAACCCAGATTTTTTATTTTCAGAATTTTGATTTAGGGATTCAAATGGGTTTCGAAGGGAAGGGAAGAAAGAAATTGGGCAAAAGATTTAGGGATTTCTGATCTAGATTTCGATTTAGTGATTTGGGGATTTCTTAGACACTGTGCGAGATGATGTGGTGAGAGATGATGTGGTGAAGGTGAGATCCACAAGGCAAGGTGGCAAAAAAAAAAAAAAAGGGGCCTAACCGGGTGTGACTGATTGCACTCAATGATCAATAAACAGAGCCGTTAGCTTAATTGGATTGAGGGACGACATTTGCATGCTTTTATATTGTAGACGGACAACAGGTAGAGTTAATTAATAGTAGAGGGACAACATGAAGCCAATCCATGGTAGAAGGTTTAGAATGCACTATTTTT